CTGTGTATTGTGTTTTTGGATGTCTGTGTGTTCTAGATAGAAGTTCTTTGTGAAATATGTATTTTGTGAATATTCTGCCAGTTTGCCTTTTGATTTTCCTAATGGTGTCTTTTGATGGTCATAAAATTTTTCATTTTTATTAGTAGTTCATTCTTTTTTTCCTTAATTGTTATTCTTTGTACAAGATCACGTCATCTATAAAGAGAGAGTTTTACTTTTTGTTCTAACATAAATTTGTGTGTGCACACGTGCACGAGTGTGCATGTGCATGCATATAATTGCCTGGTTAATCCTCCAGTAAAATATTAAATAGAGCTGGGTGAGGTGTCGCATGCCTGTGATTCCAGCAACTCTGGAGGTTGAGGCAGAAGGATCATGAGTTCAAACCCAGTTTTCTCAGCAATGGCAAGGTGCTAAGCAACTCAGTGAGATCCTGTCTCTAAATAAAATGCAAATAGGGCTAGGAATGTGGCTCAGTGGTTGAGTGCCCCTGAGTTCAATCCCTGGGATCCCCCCCCCCAAAAAAAAATGTTGAGTAGAGGTGATAAAAGTGGATGTCTTTGTTGTTGTTGTTGTTTTTTATCTTGCAAGTAGAGCATTGAGTTTTTGACAATGTGTGATTACATAGATTTTTATCAGGTTGAGGAAGTTCCGTTTTTTTTTCATTTGTTGAAATTGTTTTTATCATGAAAGGTTTGAACAAACAACACTTTTTCTGCTTCAGTATAGATGATCATGTGGATATTTTCCTTTATTCACTTAATATCATATGATATTGATTGACATTTGTGTGTGAGCATACGTGCACGTGCTAGTTAGAATTGAATCCAAGAGTATTTTGCCTCTGAGCTGTATTTTGAGCTCTTTTTTTAAACAATTTTTGTTACTTTGAGATAAGGTCTAAGTTGATTAGACTAGCTTCAAATTTGCAATTCTATTGCCTCAGCCTCCTGAGTTGCTGATGTGCTGTAAGGCCTTTTTATTTTGAGACAGGGTCTTGCCAAGTAGCTTAGGTTGGCCTTGAATTTGTGATTCTCCTGCCTCCTAAACAGCTGAGATTACAGGTGCACAACATCATCTTTGGCTGTATATTTTAAAATTTCCAAGTATTTGATACTTTCAGGTTTGTTTTTTGTTGTTGTTGATTTATAATTTGATTTATGATTGTGGTCAGAGAACAGTTTTTTGTTTGGTTTGTTTTTGCTGTGCTGGGGATTGAACCCCAGCCTTTGAAAATTATTATTTTTTTTAATTTAAATAAGAGCCTCGTCTTGATARATTTCAAGTCTCAGCATGTTGCCTATTATGGTAAGGATTCCATGWGCCATTGAAAAGTATTTTCTTAGCTGGATATAGGAGCATGTACCTGTAATTCCAGCTACTTGGGATACTGAGCAGGAGGATAGCAAGTTTGCTACTAGCTTCACAAAAAGACCTGTTCTTTTGAGACCCTGTTTTTAAAAAGGGGGCTGGTGATGTAGCCCAGTGATACAGTGTCCCTGTATCCCCCACTCCTACACACACACACACACACACACACACAAATGAAACTAGCCTGGGCAGTTTATCAACAACAACTCTCAAAATTTAAAAATGGGGTGGTTGTGTAGCTCATTCAGAGCTGTTGCCTGGCATGTGGTAGGGCTCTGGGAGAAATTCTCAGTCTTGTGTTAAAAAAAAAAAAAAAAAAGTGGTTAGTTTTGAAAATTCCTAATGGTTTAACTGCTGTTAAACCTACTTAACCTATTTAACACTATTTACAACCTACATTCCACACTTCAGCTTCCTTTTTTAAGGGTTCTTGTCTTTCATTCTGGTGAATACCTGTTCGATTTTTTAAAAATATTTTTTTCAGTTGTAGGTGGACACAATTCCTTTTTATTTATTTATTTATTTATTTATTTATTTATTTATTTATTTATTTATTTATTTATTTATTTATATGTGGTGCTGAGGATCGAATCCAGTTCCGCACCTGCGATAGGCAAGCACTCTACCACTGAGCCACAACCCCAGCCCCACCTGTTCAGTGTTTTTTTTAAAGGACCTTTTTCCTAAACTTGATCTTGCATTTTATAGATATAAAAGTATATTCTATACTTATTTGCTGGACTTTTTGTTTCTCTCGGGCAGAAATTATCATCTCAGTCTTTTGTTTGCAATTTTAATGAAGTGAACCCCTTAAGACTGGACTCCTTTATGTCATGTCTTTTTTTAATATTTATTGTTTAATTGTACACAATAGTTTGTTGTTGATGTTTATTTTTATGTGGTGCTGAGGATCAAACCCAGGGCCTTGAACATGCTAGGCGCTCTACAGCGGAGCCACAACCACAGCCCCTATGTCATGTCTTTTAAGACCACTGTACATCAATATATTTATTATTTGATAATTTTTTTGTAATTTCCACCTAATGAGTCTGGGTTTTGAAATAGGTTTATCCTTAGGCATTTTGGAAAGGAATATTTATTTATTTGTTTAATTTTATTATTATTTTTTAAATTGTCAGTGGACCTTTATTTTGTTTATTTATTTGTGATGCTGAGAATCTAACCCAGTGCCTCACATATGGTAGGCAAGTGCCRTACCACTGAACTACAACCCCGGCCCTGGAAAAGAATCTTTAGATTATAGAAGTTGATTAAAAAATTTAATTTTTTCCTATGCATTTCCTATATATCTTTATTTTGTTTTTGTGTGCTACTGGGGATTGAACCCAGTGCCTCACTTGTGCTAGGCAAGTTCTCTACCACTGAGCCACAACTTCAGCCCTGCATTTCCTACATAAACTTCTGTACTGAATTAATTAAAGGAATTTAGATCAAATTTGTATATTATAGACAGGTAAAGTAAATAACAGATACCTTTGACAATCCTTTTATAAATTAACATTGGCCCTTTAGGAAAAGGGGCAAATAAAATAAAGATATGGCAATTTAAAGTTGACATTTGGTTATGGAAAAACATCATTTGGAAAGATGTTTTGAGACTTTGTTAAGTCTTGAGTTTGGGGGGATATCTCAGTCCTTTCTGGCTGTCATAAGAAAAATACCAAAGACTGAGTGGGTGGGTGGATGATGAAATTTATTTCTCACAGTTCTATAGACTGCGAAGTTCAAGATTACATTTCTTTCCTTTTTTGGGGGGAGGGTACTTGGGATTGTACTCAGGGTCACTCAAACACTGAGCCACATCCCCAGCYCTATTTTGTATTTTATTTAGAGAAAAGTCAGTGAGTTTGAACTCATGATCCTCCTGTCTCAGCCTCCCAAGCCACAGGGATTACAGGCATGCACCATCTTGCCCAGGTCTGGCACATTTCTTAATACTTAGTTTTAGTCTTCATGTTCTGTTTCACAGATTGTAATTCAAGGGTATGTCCTTAACTGTTTTTCTAAGTATCTTGCCAGTTTTGCCAACCATTGGYTTTCTATCTGTAAAATGAAAGTGACCAGATAGAGAGCCTTATGTGTCCTCTTCCTTCTCCTCCTCTTCTTTCCTTTCTTTGTAAAAGGGTGGAATTTATTCAAGTAAGAAGAAAAGAGACAGAACTCCTGCAGGGTGAGAGGAGACCTGACCTTATAGGGGTTGCCACTAATTCACTTAACTAGTCTTGGTAGGGATATGGATCAATGTCTATGCTAATCAAGTATTAGAAAAGTGTCAATGCTATTGGTTCAGCCTGCACTATTCTGTTTGTTTAGCTTGAGTCTGTAGTTTTCACTCAGGTCTGTTTAGCCTTCCTTTTCCCATTGCCCTGGGACAAAGGAGTTTGCTGGAGTATTTGGGATGTTTCTACAAATTAATCTTACSGAGTGGCCTTTACATTTCGAGAAGCTATTATGGGGCCTATTTCTTTTACTATCTGTATGTCTATCCTATCCTATTCTTTCCCCGCCTCTGAAGGAGGATCCCTAATTTCCTTAAGGAAAAGGGGTGATGATTGCTGTGGTTTCTTCAAACTGAAAAGGGGAGATKAAAGGGTACAGCAGTCAGGGTCCTACAGAGCCTAGCTAAGGTTCCCCAGTAGACGGGGATTTCATTTTGAATTCTGTTTATATGGTCATTTATAGCTTGWTAGCCTCTGCTGCTGTAGTTTGGCAGCAGACCCAATTGCCTGCCAATGCCTTCTTTCCAGGTTCTTATCTTGTGAGTTTGAAGAATGAAATCGATAGATGAGAGCAAGTAAGCATAAAAGAGTGTAGCATTTATTCAAATGAGAATAAGAGAGACAGAGCTCCTCCAAGGTGACAAGAGATTTGATAGGGGTTGCCCTTTTTTTAGTGGGTAGTGGTGGTACTGGGGGTTGAACCCAGGTATGCTCAACCATTGAGCTATTACATCCTCAACCCTTTTTATTTTTTTTACTTTGAAACAGGTTCTTAACCACATTGTTCATGCTGGCCTTGAACTTGGCATCCTCCTGCCTCAGATTTCCAGGTTGCTGGTATTAGGCATTTTTGTTATTGTGTTGGGGATTAAACCCAGGGCCTCAATCAGTGCTAGGCAAGTACTCTGCAACTGAGCCACGTCCCTAGCTCATGAACATAGTTTTTAAAGTATTGTTATATGTGTTAAGATTAGAATCTCAAAATGATCCATCTGCTCCTATTTATACTTGTATAATTATTGATTATTGGAATTGTGTTCATGGAATTAACTCATTCATTGAATAATGGTTTTCCCACTGCATTGTAAGTTAAGAAAGGCAAACTCTTCTCTACCTAGCTCATTACCTTATCGCTGTTTACCTAGCCCAGTGCTTCACATGTGGTTAAGTGCTCAATAAATATTTGTAGAATAAATGAACGATTAAACAAATGGCAATCTTGGCATGAGCAGAGGTAGCATAATGATTAAATCTGCTTAGAGAACTGGACTTTTTTTTCTTTATTTTATKAATTTATTTTAAATCAAGAGATTTTTATTATGTAAGTTGGGCATATTTGCATATACTAGGTTTTAATTTTAATAACCTTTGTTATTATTTTTCTTACAGTTTTACATGTGGCACCCATAAAAGATGAGGCTGAGAACACGGAAAGCTTCTCAGCAGTCAAATCAAATCCAAACACAACGCACTGCCAGAGCAAAAAGGAAATATTCAGAGGTTGATGATGGGCTGCCATCAGGAGGAGAAAAACCACCGAAGAATGAAACCGGCCTATTGTCTTCTATTAAAAAATTCATTAAAGGAAGCACACCCAAGGTAATGGTTTTGCCTTATACTTACATTAAAAAGARGTGATGTTTAGGTTGTTCCTCTAAGCATATATAAATGAGATATTGATACTGATTGAGTCTGTTTTAAGGGGATATCTGCATTTTAGTATTATTTTACCTAGATTATCACATACAAAATATTTAATGGAAGTTGAAGATGAACATTATTTAGTCCATTGATCTAGTCACCCACTTTGCCTTCGTCATTATGGGAAACAAAAGAAAAAATTTCCTTATTCTTGTCTTTCTCTCTTCCCTTCTTCTTCCTGTATTTTTTATCTTTCTCTTCTGCACCTCTCAGTTGGAGATTGAATCCAGGGGTGCTCTACTACTGAGTTACATCTCCAGCCCTCATTTTTTTATGTTGAGGCAGGGTCTGGCTAAATTGGCCAGGGCAGCCTTGAATTTATAATCCTCCTGCCTTAGCCTCCCCAGTAGCTGAGATTACAGGCCTATTTCACTGTRCCTGGCTTAAATTATTTCCTTTACTTCCATTGTCTTTCATTTCAGAGAATAGTAAGTTTCTTGTTAATATTATTCACTAATTAGGAAAATGATTTATCTACCTGAATTCTAACATTTGCACAATGGAAATGTATTACTTCATTGAAGACAAAATTATTTTTTTAAAAAGAATGGAAACCAACCCGAAGTCATGCTCCAGATTCATATTGTAGGCCAATTTTAGTGACCTAAGGAGAGTCATTTTTCCTTCTGGGTTTCAGGAGGATAGTAATATGGGAGTAATAGTAACTACTTTGTTTTAGCATTATTTTAGGTTAGTTGGGGTGCAGTGGCGCACACCAGTAATTCCAGTCACTCAGGAGGCTGAGGCAGGAGGATTGCAAATCCAAGGCCAGCCTCAGAAGTTTAATGAGACACTGTCTCAAAATAAAAAACAAAAAAGAGAGCTTAGTGGTAGAGCATCCCTCAGTTCAATCCCCAATATCATCAATCAGTCACTACTATTTTCAGGTTAGATTTTACAACAAGGTTGAAAAGCAGTTTGACAAACTTTAATGTATAATAAAGGTACAGTGTTATCATTCATTATATATAGATTACATGCTACTTTTGTGTTCTTTCTTGGTACAATTAAATTTGTATGATGTATGTTTTATTATGAACTGGGTGTGGATGGCACGCATCTGTAATCCCAGTGACTCTGGAGGCTGAGGCAGGAGGATTACGAGTTTGAGGACAGCTGTTTATCAATGCCCTAAGCCTTGGCAAGACCCTGTCACAAAATGAAAAATTAGAAAGGCTGGGAAGATGGTTCAGTGTTTAAACATCCCTGGATTTAATCTCTGCCCCACCCCCCACTCAAAAAAAATTTATTATAACGTAAGCTGCTTATTTTGAGCAATAGAAAATAAATACTGTGTTGACTTATTCATAGTGGTAGATTTTGTTGTAATAGAATTAATGGAGCATAATAACTAAACCATTGGTCAAGATTTATAGTCTATGTTTGTATAAGATTTTTATTTTTGTTTTATTGTAAAAGTTTTGTCTTTCTGACACTTTCTTTTGTTAGTTTCAAATAACATTTAGCTTTAGGTGGCAATGCTGGAAGCTAATTAGCCCTGTTTTAGAGTGTATATTAAGTATTATGCATTACTGCACCCCCAGTTAAGTGACAGTACTAGTATTTTATTTGTTTGCTTATTTTTCAGAGTTACTTTTAATAACCAGGTCTGAACAAAACCATGCACAGCTTTCCCTAATCTTTGCCAAGCATACATGACTCTCCCAGCTCAGGGAGTCTCCCAGTTTTTCTACCACTACCACCACCAACACCTGCCCTCCACCCCTAAACTTATAATCTTATGGCTTAGGAGGATATTTATACAATTGCAATTTAATTGAGCACCTGCTGTGTACCTAGCCTTGGCAGGCAATTCACATTTGTTAGGGAGAAGGGTCAAGGGCCACCAGGCTCTGGTTAGGAACCTCCCTATTTTGCATTAACTAGTTCTACCTCCAGTTGCTGCCAGGGAAGACATTGGAGAAATCATTCAGTGACCCAGGGTTTGTTTAACAGTGTGTTAGAAGAGGATGCATAATGGAGGAGAAATGAAAGTATAGTTTTAAAAATCCCAGAACCTCGAGCTGGGACTGTAGCTCAGCAGCAGAGCACTTGCGTGGCATGTGTGAGGCACTGGGTTCGATCCCTAGCACCACATAAAAATAAACAAAAATAAAGGCATTCTGTCCATTTGCAACTACAAAAAATTAAAAACAAAAACCCAGGACCTCCATTTTAGTTGCCAAGATAAGGAGATAAGAGACGTCAAAGGCAGAAGGATCCTTCCATTTTCTATAGCCTGTATTTCTTAGATGGGGGGGGGGCAGCAGATTGCCCCTGGGTGAGTGAAAATTGATTCTTGGYAGTAGGGGAGATATTACAATTGTTTGTGGTGCTGCAAAGAGCCTATCATATATAAACAAACGTATAGTATATCCATTGCTTTAAAATATCATGGAGGAGCTGGGCATGGGTGGGGTGTGCCTATAATTCCAGCAACTCTGTAGGCTAAGGCAGGAGGATCCCAAGTTAAAGGCTAGCCTAGGCAACTTGGAGATACCTTGTTCCAGATTAAAGAAATTAAAGCCAGGGGTGGTGGTATATACCTACAATCCCATGATTTGGGAGGCTGAGGCAGGAACATCTTGAGTTTAAGGCCAGTCTCAGCATCTTAGTGAGATCTTTTTTCAAAGTGAAAAATAAAAAGAATTGGGATGTAGGAGGTGTAGCTCAGTGGTAAAGCATCCCTGGATTCAATCCCCTATATAATAWTCAATATATAGTATTTTAAAAACCTGTACCTTTTTTTCATCATTCTGTCTGAAAGTAGCTATTGTATTTATAGTACAAAATCTAATTTATGTAAGGATAGTAAATTTCTAGTGTGAAGATTATTCTTGGGTGTAGGTAAATAAAAGTTGGGTCTTCTTGTGCTGCCCACTTTGTCATTTATTTGTATTGTTATCAGCTCAAAATTGAACCTAATTTTTAAAAAAATATTTATTTTTCTTTTTGTTTTCGGCGGACACAACATCTTTGTATGTGGTGCTGAGGATCGAACCCGGGGCGCACGCTTGCCAGGCGAGCACGCTACCGCTTGAGCCACATCCCCAGCCCTGAACCTAATTTTTTATAGCAAGTTTTTCATGTAGTATTTTGTACCTATATCACCATTTACTACTCCCTTAATCTTTCTCTCTAGATGATGGACTACTGCTCTTATTTCTATAAGTGTCCCTTTCAAACCCAAAGTGAGACAATTTCCTATGCTGCTACTTTTATTTTCTTAGTACCATTCCTTTTTCTTCTTCTTTTATTTTTTTGTTCATTTGTTTTTCAGTACTGGGAATTAAATCCAGAGGCACTTAACCACCGAGCCACACCCCCAACCCCCTTTTATTTTGTTTTTTTATTTTGAGATAGGGTCTTGTTAAATTACTTAGGATCTTGCTAAGTTGCTGAGGTTGGTCTTAAACTTGCACTACTCCTACCTCAGCCTCCTGAGTTGCCGGAATTATAACCATGCACCATTCTTTTTCTTTCCTTTTGGATTTTCACAGCTATGTGAGTAGACTTGAAATATAGACAAACTTCTTTGCTTTCTCTTTTGAGCTGTGTTCCTTTCTGAGATATTTTACTTTGCTTTTATGCCTCTGGTGAATGTTTTAGAAACTTGCTYACCTGTGTTATTAGCCCACTTTATTTGTTGTTCTTTATTATGATTTCTAGGATCACATAGCTATTGGTGTTCTTGGTGTTTTCCTCTTTTTATATTGTCAATTAGTTTATATCTGTATTCTAGTTCTAACTTGGCCATAAATTAGCTATGAGAGTATTCAGGTAATCTAAACAAGAGGTGTTGTTCATTTATGGATATAAGGCGTATATATTAGTTTGTAGTGGCTGTATATCACATACTACGTATCTTAAAGATCAGAAGTGTAGGACAAGGCATGGTGGTGCAAGCCTGTAATCCCAGCATCTCTGGAGGCTATGGCAGGAGGACCACATGTTCAAAGTCAGCCTCAGCAACTTAGTGAGGCCCCATCCCAAAACAAAAAATAAAAAGGGCTGGGGATGTGGCTTAGTGGTAAATGCCCTTGGTTTCAGTCCCTTGTGCCAAACAAACAAAAAGCCAGAAGTGTATTTTTCTTTCTGGAGCAAAGATTAGGTGAAAACTTTTGTTCTTACTCCTTAGCCTATATATTGCCAAACATCATAGTTTTATTTGGTTTTCCTTCTTAGTACCCAAAATAAATTCAACTTGTTCATATATCTATATATTTATTTATTTATTTTAGTTATAGATGGACACAATACCTTTATTTTGTTTATTTATTGTTAYGTGTTGCTGAGGATTGAACCCAGTGCCTCACACATGCAAGGCAAACGCTTTACCACTGAGCCACAACCCCAGCCCCACTACTTGTTCTTTCTTGTAAGCAGTTCTCTCTCTCTCTCTCTCTTTTTTTTAACAGATGTATTTTCCCTCTTTACCAGGAATTGAACCCAGGGGCACTTAACTACTGAGCTACATCCCCAACCCCCTTAAAAAAGATTTTTTTTTTTTTTAATTTAGAGAAAGGGTTTTGCTGAGTTGATAAGTGCCTCACTAAGTTGCTGAGGCTGGCTTTGAACTTGGTATCCTTCTGCCTTAGCCTCCTGAGCTGCTGGGATTACAGGCATTTACCACTGAGCCCAGCAACAGGGATTTTTTTTTTTTGAGAGAGAGAGATTTTTTTTTTAATATTTATTTTTCAGTTTTCGGTGGACACAAAATCTTTATTTTATTTTATGTGGAGCTGAGGATTGAACCCAGTGCCCTGCGCATGCCAGGTGAGCGCATTACCGCTTTAGCCACATCCCCAGCCCCAACAGAGGGATTTTTTAATAACTGGATTAATTTACTAATTATGGAATGAAGAAAAATAAGCTCAGGTGACTAGTTTAATAGAAGA